ACCGACGGTAGTAGCCTGCCAACCCTAAGAAACTCCGAATCCCTGTAGCTGATGCTGATCGAGGCAGTTCTTGACTACCTCAATCTCCTTTGGATCAACCTGAATACCCTCTACGGATACAACGTGACCCAGGAATGCAACTGAAGTCAACTAGAACTCACACTTCGAGAACTTCGCATATAACTGACTATCCTCAAAGTCTGAAGAACCACTCTGAGGTGCTACTCGTGCTCCTCCTGGCTGCGGGAGTATATCAAAATATTATCAATAAAGACTATCACGAACAAGTCTAAATAAGGCCTGAACATTCGGTTCATCAACTCCATAAACGCTGCTAGGGCATTGGTCAAGCTGAATGACATAACCAAGAATTCATAATGCGTGTACCGAGTGCGGAAAACTGTCTTAGGGACATCGGATGCCCTAATCCTCAACTTATGGTAGCCAGATCTCACGTCTATCTTTGAAAATACCTTTTCACCCCGAAGCTGGTCAAACAAATCGTCAATGCTCGGCAGTGGATACTTATTCTTGATTGTAACTCTGTTCAATTGTCGGTAATCAATGCACATCCTCATCGAACCATCCTTTTTCTTTACAAATAACATCGGCGCACCCCAAGGCGAAACGCTGGGTCTAGTGAAACCCTTCTCAAGCAAATTCTGCAACTGATCCTTTAACTCTTTCAACTCTGGTGGGGCTATGCGATACAGTGGGATAGAAATGGGCTGAGTGCCCGGAGCCAGATCAATGCAAAAGTCGATATCCCTGTCGGGCGGCATACCCGATAGCCTGAAGGGAAAACCTCAGGGAACTCTCGAACAATGGGCAGATAATCAATAGAGGGGAGCTCATCACTGGAATCATGGACATAAGCCAAATAGTCCAAACACCCCTTCTCGACCATACGTCGAGCCTTCACATACGAGATAACACTGCAAGTAGAAGGACCAGGAGTCCCTCTCCACTCTAAACGGGGAAAATCTGGTAAGGCTAAGGTCACGGTATTGGCATGGCAATCCAAGATAGCATGGTACGGGTATAACCAATCCATCCCCAATATAACATCAAAGTCGACCATGTCTAAAAGCAAAAATTAACATGGGTCTCAAGACCCACAATCACTACAATACAAGAACGATGAACTCGATCGACCATAATAGAATCACCCACCAGTGTAGACACATATACAGGAATACTCAATGAATCACTAGGCATATCCAGGTACAGTGCAAAATAAGATGACACATACGAATACGCTGGGTCAAATAGAATCCTCAAGAGATAACAGGGAAATCAACAATTAAGTTGTTAACACGGATAAAGCTAAACAAGGCAGCTTTCACTTTTATTATTCATCTCGTTGCAGGCGTGCAACCCGATCCATTTCTCATATGTCGTGGTAGGCGTACCTCCCGCTCCCATTTCATCATAACTCGTGGTAGGCATACCACCCGCTCCCATTTCATTAATAACTTGTGGTAGACGTACCACCCACTCCCATTTCAATATCACTTGTGGTAGGCGTACCACCCGCTCCCATTTCAATATCACTTGTGGTAGGCGTAGCGTACCAGCTGCTCTCATTACTTCCAACACAATACACAATACAAATACCAGCAAGGGAACATAATAATGTAACAACTTCCAGGCATGGGAATAAAAGTAAATTTATAAACTTCCCGGTAAGGGAACAAATAACAATAAATCAAACGTCCCGGCAAGGGAAAGTTAGCTATAACTAATACTATTCAACTTTTACTTGACATAATTGATTCCAATACTCCATCATAGCTAAGTCTACTGAATAAGCTAAGTCCTTACTTGGTATCAAGGATCATCAATCACAACTTCCATAGAAATAATTAAGAATACACAATTATCAATTTAAGACCCATGGTCATGCTCGAAACCAACGTATGGATACTCGTCACCATGCCCATACGTCGTACTCAACACATAACAAGTAACAAATATGACTCAACTCATAATCCCGCAAGCTAAGGTTAGACCGAACACTTACCTCGATGCTTTGAACTCAACTCAAGTCTCAATTATGGCTTTACCCCTTGATTCCACCACAAATCCACTCGAATCTAGTCACAAGTTACTTAATTACATCAATAAACGCTAAATGAATCAATTTGAATGCATAAAAATAAATTTCCCAAAGTTTTGCCCAAAAAGTCCAAAAATGCCCCCGTGCCCACATGGTCAAAACCCCAGGTTCGAATCAAAACCCGATTATCCATTCCCCCACGAACACATATAAGATTTGTTTTGAAATCGGACCTCAAATTGAGGTCCAAATCCCCAATTTTAGAAAAACCTAAGTTCTACCCAAAACCCCTTATTTCTCTTATAGAAATCTTTGATTTTAAGTTGAAAACATGTTAAATGATGTTAATGATTGAAAGAAATGAGTAAAAACTAACTTACAATTTATTTGGAAGAAGTCTTGTTCTTGGAAAATCGCCCAAAGAGGTTTGTGTTTTGAAGGAATGGTGAAAATGGTTAAAAATTTGGCTAAGTATAAAATATGCAGGTCTCAGTTATGGGAAATGCGTACTAGGGTTCGCAATTGCGAACCCGACCTCTGCCGGTATGGTAATTGCGAAGCTTGGTTCGTATTTGCGAACTCCTCCAATTTTCCCCAGGTCTCGCATTTGTGACCCAGCCATCGCATTTGCGACTGAGCCTTCGCATTTGTGAACCTAGTGGTCGCATTTGCGATCAGGCCGGCCCAGATTTCCACTTCGCATTTGCGATGAACGACTTGCATTTGCGAGCTTCGCATTAGCGAGACTGGCTTCGCACTACAGATTAGAAATGCAACAGCTGATTCTCAAAGGTTCAAAATGCACTCACGGCATATCCAAAACTCACCCGAGCCCTCAGGGCTCCAAACCAAACATACACACAATCTCAAAACACCCTACGGACTTATCCGTGCGATCAAATCCCCAAAATAACATTATATACTTCGAATTAAGCCTCAAAATCTATGATTTTTTCCAAGTTTCATAAACATCAAATTTTCCATTTTAAGTCCGAAACACGTCAAACGACGTCCATTTTTAACCAAACTTTACAGAAAGTGCTTAAACTATATATAAGACATGTACCGGGCGCCAAAATAAAAATACGGGCCCGATACCATCACTTTCTAATTAGATTTCATTTCGAATTTCCTTAAATATTTTCAGAAAATAATTTTACTCAAAAATTAATTTCTCGGGCTTGGGACCTCGGAATTGGATTTCGGGCATACACCCAAGTCCCATATTTTCCTACGGACCCTCCGGGACCGTCAAATCACGGGTTCGTGTCCGTTTACCCAAAATATTGACCGAAGTTAAATTTATTCATTTTGATGTGAAAACTTAGCATTTTTTTTTACAGAATTTCATATTTAAGCTTTCCGGCTACGCGTCCGGATTGCGCACGCAAATCGAGGTAATCCCTAATCGAGATTTCCAAGGGCGGGAGGACACAGAATTCAATTAGAAGCAGGTGATGACCCTTTGGGTCGTCACAGTACGCTTTCAATTTTTTTTGCAAAGCGGGCACAAGTGAAAACGTGACACAAAAAGTGGGTATCAATGCAAATGTCTCGCGCCACGTGAGGGCCAACGGTTTAAGTGGGTCTTTGGACATAAGGAATTGTAAAAATCCGAAAAATATTACTCCCTCCGTTTCAATTTGTCTGAACCTGTTTGACTGGGCACGGAGTTTAATAAAAAAATGATACTTTTGGAATTTGTGGTCCTAAACAAATTCAAATGGGGCCCAGGGTGTTTGTATGGTTATAAAAGCTTCTAATTTGTATGGTTATAAAAGCTTCCTTTGAGCTTAATGAATCTCCTTTATTGTGAAAGTTAAGTTATACTCTAGTTGGACAGTCTTAGTTCAGTTTGAGAAGTTGAGGAGTCACGAATAGTTAGCAAGGAGTCTTTATATTTGACTATCCAATATCAAGTAGGAGATTGGATTAAAAAGGCACCTTAAATCTTCTTGTGCATATTATGTTGATGATTCTTTTGAGTATAATGTGTTTGCACCTAGTGTTGAAACTTGTGTTGGAATTGAAGAGTTGAAGAGTCATTTTTTTTTAGAAGGTAACAATTGTTGCATATATATAAACGGTATCCAAACAGGTGTAGCTATCCATAATTATGGGAGGTGGAACAGGAAAATTTCCAAGTCCTTAATATACTGACAGTTGAAGAGTGATTCTTTGGCAAGAATGATAATTTTGAATTTGAATTTTATTTATGTCAAAAGAATATTCTTGTTATTGATGATAGTTTTGAGAATTCACTTGATAATAGAATGTTTGCATTGAAAGATTGTGACTTTATTGAAAATGTTCATGATGATCAGCTTGAACATGAAAGCCACTAGTTGACAGAGTTTGTGACTTGTTTGATTACCTTAATGATGTATTTTGTGAACCTCAACTTAGTGATGATGATGTATTTAAAGAAATCCATTCAAGAGCTACTCATGCCCTTTTTGATCTGATTCGATAGGGCTCTGGAGTAAAGGTTGCTTGATTTTGTGCAAAGATAAAACTAACCATAATTTGGTTTTCTTTCTCTTTAGAACCCTTAAGCGTTTTTTATTCACTTTTTATGTACTCTTTATAATTGAGTATTTGATGCACCTCCCTCGGGTCTTTGTCATAGGCCTTCTTAAGGTCAATGAACACCATGTGCAAGTCCTTTTTCCTTTCCATGTACTGCTCCACCAATCGTCTCACAAAAAATTCTAGTATTTTATAAAATTTAATTATAAATATTTATTTATACAAATATAATGACAGTATAATATATATGTTGTATGTAATTATTTATGTACATTTTATTTAGAAAATATTCCTGGTACAAAATAGGTAAAAAAAAAAATACCTAAGATATATGTCAATATACAGTAAATATTTATGAAATAATTCTAGTATATTGCAAGTTTAATTTAAAAATGTTTAATTACACAAAAGGTATAATAATTGTATAATGTATATGCTTCTATATTTATTGCAATAAGAAATTCTGTACAAATCAGTGCCAAATCATGAACAAAGGCGTGGGGAGCAACATTATTCACTCCTTTGATGAAGCAAAAGTTTTGATCAGATAAGGGCTGCAACACCAAATTGTTGCATCTCTCTAAGCCTCCATACGCGGTCTTCCCCGAGTTGCATAGCCCAAGCATAGTGTACAGTGTGTATTGTATCCTAATACAGCAAGAAATTTAGCCATAACAGAGTTAAAATTCAAATCTGTACGGAAATCTTAGCTTCAATGATGAGTTACTGCAGGTTGGGATCATTCTACAGCAGATTGGAATGCAAAAATGCTTAAGAATAATTGCTACTTGTTAACACTTAACATCTTTAGTTTATGTCTAGTAACCCACTTTTGTGTATGAAAACCACACCATTAACGTAGAAAAATGACGATTTGACCACAGGGATGCAAGAAAGCAATTTGATATCATGACGTTTGTATATGATACATAGTACCATATTGCCCAGCAAGATCAAAAGGGCAGCTCGGTGCACGGGAAGGGGCCGGACCACCAAGGGTCTATTGTAGGCAGTCTTACCCTACATTTCTACAAGAGGCTGTTTCCACAGCTTGAACCCGTGATCTTCTGGTCACATGGCAGCAACTTTACCAGTTACGCCAAGGCTCTCCTTCCTTGCCTACCAAGAGAATAACAGCAACCAACAAAAGGGATATAATACATACCTTTCCTCCTTCTTTAATTGAACCAAGTTTATCACGTACGCAGTAAACCTGCTGCGTCTTGAACTGTGGACATTACCCAAGAAAGAGTACTATCAGGGGCTAAATCTTTTGAGCCTTTTGTTCTTTCAAGAGGTGGATTGATTTCGATATAGAAAATATTGAAGAAAGACTCTTACCCCCAAAATTATTAAGGGACTGTCTCCCATCATTTTTCTCTCCCGCTCTTCAATATCCGAAACATGTAAAATCTGTCTCATTTTCAGTAGGGATATCAGATTTTCTAGTAGCGTAACAGGGAAATTTGATGCTAGAGAAGCCAACTAGAAGCCATTCAACCCCTTTAATATAAGTAGCATACCAAATGAGAGGTGGTCACAATTCATGCAGAATGTTTAGTTCGAGCTTAAGTGGAAAATCAGGGAGGACTCCAAATCAAGCCCACTGACTGTAACCAGTGCTTAACTATGTTGCTCGGACTCTCCGAAAATGTCTCCAGGTACGTAACAGATCCTCCAAAAGTAGTGCATTTTTGGAGGATCCGACACAGGTGCCGCAGCATTTTGGAGAGTCCGCGCAACATAGGTGCTTAACATATCAAGAACCAATCAGCAACAGTAAAAAGCACTATGTTGCGAGAACTAAAACTGCAACTAATGACACCCTACAACCCCCAAAAATCCATAATTACACATAAAGTTGAAAAAATTAATATCTGATGCGGCAACCTTCACAATCAAGTATTCCTATTTATCTATTTTCTTGGATTTTTTCCATTTCAAAAGGTTTTAAGCCATTTTAAAAATATGACTAATGTTATGAGCCGTTAACAATTCCAAAAGGCACACACTTCCGTTCCTTTCTCATCTTTCTGCTGTAATTTACTCCCTTTACTGAAATTGTACCTGTTGAATTATTAAGTAACCAAGCACACACAAATCGCTGTATCCCTCTATCTTCGTCTTACCTTTTTCTTTGTTTTCTTATTATTATCAACTGATACATCTCATTTAGAGTTCTAAGATGCCAAGACTTCAAAGGGAAGTTATTCTTTTTTTTCGGGGG